ATATAAGACTCCACTGGCACGATCTTCTTAAAGTTATAAAGGCGGCCTTTTAAATCCCATTAAGAATCATGCCACTTCATGAGATCATGCAATATGTGCTTTACTGCTAGATCTTATCTTCTTACCTTAGTCCGATTTTCAAAAAAGTAGGAGCACCCCTTAAGGAAAACTGTATATAAGAGGAGATCAAGCTGGCAAGGTGGGATCAAAAAAGGTTGTGGAGTTCATCCAAGGAGAAGCACAGGGGGAAGGAGGAATTTATCAAACTTGTCATCTTCAAAGCTTTGCTTTACTTGACATGTGTCTGTTCAATTTCTTGTTAAGTAATCAAGCCAAGTTTCTTCAGTTCTGAGCCCAAAACCTTATTTTTGGTCAAAATGGCATCAAGAATTTGCTTTCGTTGTAGGAATTTGCCTGCCAATTTTGATTCTTGATCGACAACACATATATAGTCTTGGTGGTACTAAATTATAGAATCCTTATTTTATTGGCAGTTTCTTAATTTTATTCTTCTCTCATTACAGATTGAAGTGATTTTGAAATTTGAAGAATTGTGCTTAGAATCCACCAAGGAATACACTCCATTATTTGTGCAGGTAAGTTTTTTTTTTTGTTTGTGTGTGTGTGTGTGTGTTGGATAGGGGATATTTTGCAAAATTTTACTATGTTGTTAGGTGAGTTAATAGTTAAAACTTCGGTTGAAAAATTGTCGCAGTTATGCATAATTAGTAGCTCAAATATCAAACCGCAGATGTTTTGATTGATTAAAATCTTTGCCCTCTAGATAAATGAATTAGTAAATGATTGAAAAACGAACATATGGACCAGATGAAAGAATGGGATATGATTTGATGACATATAAGCCCTTGTTTGAGCCCCATTTTTCCAGAAATTCATTTTTTTCAAAACTCATTTTCAACCATATATTTTACAATAAAATAATTTTACACGTAAATCGTATCTCATGCCTTTCCCGACTGACCCGACTGGAGAGGTCATTTTTGAAAACCTTTTTTTCACTTTTGAACCACACATTCTCAAAAAATTCGCTATTCAATATACATTTTTTCCCCAAAATGGGGGCTCAAACAAGGGCTAAAAGTAAATAGTTTTGTATGTTCATGTGTTGGTTGCGAGTTTTTTTTTCTGTATGTATTACTTCTAGTAGTCAGCCATTGTTTTTAGTAGAGGTGCTTATCTTGTAAAGCTTAAAAAGTGAGATTGTAAATAAATAAGTTTCACAATAAATTATTTTTTTTATCGGTCAGTTTGATACTTGTAAGTTGCTTATTTTGACAGAGTTACTTTTCTCTTTTAAGAAATAAGTACCATATCGAGACACGCTCTTAGTTTAATTTCCATGGTCGTGCTTGGATTAGTGATACTATATAAAAAGCTATGGTATAAAAAGTTGAGTCGTTAAGGGCCTGTTTGGCATGTCTATTGAAAATTTAGAAGTGTCTTTTGAGATTAAAAAACTGCTTTTGGACCTGTTTGAATAAATTTTTGAAAATGCTTTGTTTGATTAGAAGAAATTTTAGAGGAAGTTGGCATAGCGTGGCTTTTTGTGAAAGGTCTTCCACAAAAAGCAAAGCTAAAACACAAGCTATCCCAAACAGGCCCTAAACTCTTGTTTGCTTATATTATTATTCCTTGTGCACTAGTGAACATACCAATGTTTGTTTCTTTTTTTCTTATTATTATATGTTTTACAGGTTTTGCATCTTCTATACGACCAAGATGTTATACAAGAGAAAGCTATACTTGATTGGGCATCTGAAAAGGAAGAGGCAGAGGAGTCAGATAAATTATTTCTCAAACAAGCAGAAAAATTTATCCAGGTATGCATTAATATACTCAAATGATGCGAGGAGTCAAGGCGTGAAAGTATTATGCGATCTTCATAGCTAACATTTGGGGAATGTACTTGAGGTTGATTATTGAAGTCTTTGAGCTTGTTTTGGGTTCACTTATAAGTTACTTTCAGTAAAATCAACTTTTTCCCCCCTTAAAAGTACAAGAATAATTTACCAAATGAGTTGATTTTTCAATTAAGAGAACAGAGGGTAATTACTTGTTATCTTACTTATAGAGTATCCATTGCTGCAAACTCAAATTTGATCTCTTTCCATACCTCACAAGCATCAGCTAGTTCAGGACTCCATTTGCTAGCCTCACGGATAATTACATTACCCTCAGAAGCAAGATCGAAAAGTTGCTTAGAACTAACCTTTACTTTTTGTTAAGCTGAGCTAAACGTTCTCGTTGCCTCTTTTTACTCATTTTCAACTGTATACTTGACATTTGGTGCAGTGGTTGAACGAGGCCTCGGAAGAAGAGGATTGAGTTACTGCAGTCTCGGCTAGTTGACAAATTTCTTGGTTATGGAAATGCTATCAATTATATAATCATTCAAGATGCTGCAACTCAAGCTGAATAGTCCATCTTTTCTTGGAATCAACTTTAGTATAACTCTCTCATCATCTCCTATATTTTACTAATTTAGTCTTCTGATTGGGAGCATGTTTGATATCTGTTGTCAATTATCAACTTCGGATTCAATTTCACATGTCAACTAATGGACAAATTTCATCGGTTGCCTCGAGCAGTAGTGGGGACGAATGAAATTTCCGAGTTCAAGATTTTTTCTGGGATTTATTGATTATGCATATATAAATATTTTTGACTTGTGTAATGTAATGCGGTCTTTGTAGGTTTCTGTTTTTACGACTCTAAGCAAATTAAAGTCTTAGATTGAGGAAATACATATACAGTAATATTAAAGCTAATTAGTTCAATGTCTAAGAGCAAAATCCAGTTGGCCGTACTTTAAATTTTTGAAATGAGATACTGTTTGATGGGGATTAAAGTCAAATTTTTGAGAAGTTGTGGATCTCATGAAATATGTGATTAAAATTAATTTTTGAAAGAATTATAACTTGGAATAAAACCTAAATCTTAATTCATGCCAAACAGTGGTTTAATATTTAAATATAATGTTTGTTATTGAGTTTGAATTTATATTTTTATTTATTGCTATGTAAAATTAATGGCAAATATAACTAGATTTATTTATTTATTTTTGGAAATACGTACGAGTAAATATGTTTTTTTTAGTATCAAAATATCAATTATTACAAAGGCATTTTTTTTTTTTTTTAACCTTTCATGTTGTTGTATATGTGACTCATATAGAATAAAACGCAGATTTACTAGGTCAAATTGGTCGATATTGGAGCGAAGCAATGTCAAAAATGGAAGTATTGTTAGAAAATGGAAGGGAAAGATACAAGACTCGGTTAGTAGCTAAGGGATATTCACAGAGAAAGGGAATAAATTATGATAATTTTTTTCTCTCCAATCATCAAACACACTTCCATTAGGATCGTCTTGGCAATGGTAGCCAACTTTGATTTGAAGTTAGAGCAATTGGATGTGAAGACTGCTTTCCTTCATGGTGATTTGGAGGAGCAAATTTTCATGGAGCAGTCACAGAGGTTCTTGGAACCAAGAATAGAGAATCTTGTATGTAAATTGAATAAGTCTTTTATATGGGTTTGAGCAGTTTCCACAGCAATGGGACAAGAAGTTCGACTCCCACATGACTCAGATTGACTATAGTTGCTGTGAGTATGATTGTTGTGTTTACCTATAGAGTTCTTGAGGACGATTCATATATTTTTTTGATGTTGTACGTGGACGACATGCTATATGCTATAAAGAACATGAATGACATAGATAGATTGAAATCTTTATTGAGCAGCAAGTTTGACATGAAAGATTTCAGACTGGTTAAGGAGATTCTTGGCATGGAGATCAATAGAGATAGGAAGGACAGAAAATTATGAATGTCTTAGATAAATTATTTGAAAAAGGTTTTGGAGAGATTTAGCATGTTTGATGCAAAACCAGTGGGTACACCGTTGGCAAATCACTTCATATTGTCTAGTATCAGTGCCCAAAGATTTAAAAAGAAATTGCACAGATATCAAAGGAACCTTATGTTAGTGGGATGTTTAATATATGCAATAGTGTCTATTAGACTAGATTTAGCACATGCAATCAATGTGTTGAGCAAGTATATGACCAATCTCGACAGAGAACATTGGAGAGCTATAAAGTAAATTTTTAGGTACTTAAGAGGTATAATGAAGTCTGAGATTTGTTTGAGAGATAATATGATAATGTTTCAATTTAGAAATACGTAGATGCAGATTATGCAGGCGACTTGAATGACAGAATATCCCATACATGTTATGTTTTTACATTCATAGGTGGGCATATATGTTGGAATTAATGGTGCAGTTAATCGAGGTATTATCTACAAGTTTCTAGTTATAAGGAAATGAAGTTGATAAGATTGAACAATGGGGTTGATAGAGATGGAGGAAATAAGGCAACAATAGTGAAGACAGAAGAGGTTTGCTTCATGTGTGGGTTAAGTGCTTTGGTTGGGTAATACGGGAAAAATAAATATTTTTGGTCAACCGACAGATTTTAGGATGAAAATAGTTAGATGTCTTTTCGATGTATATCTAATATTAAAGGTTTATAACCGCATTGCATATTTTTGAAAAATTTTGGAAGCTCCGATGCAAATTTTCATTTTTAATTAATTAAACATTAAAAGACCATTTTGCCATTTTTAAAATCGATCAAGTTTTGGTCAAATGCTCAATTTTGGTAAACTAACTGATTTTTGGACGGAACCGTTCAAAGATCCTCCATTGCACAGTTTTGAAAGGTTTGGCACATCCATTGCTATGATTTAAAGGTTTGGATGTGTGATTTTTGGACGGTAACCGTTCAAAGATCCTGCATCGCACAGTTTGAAAGATTTGACACATCCATTGCAATGATTTAAAGGTTTGGGCGTGATCTGCATATTTTTTGAAAGGTTCGGACCTCCAATGCATTAAGCCACAGCCCACAGGTCCATTATGGCCCAAATCTATTCGGGACGTACAACGAATGAAGCAATATGTACAAATCTCAAAATCAATCCAGTTCCTCTATTCCTACCCCTTACTTCCACAGGGTAACCAAATGATTTACGCATACCGTTCTGTTTCTCTTTCTAGAATTTTGAACAAATTCTCTACCCTTCTCTCTTGGAATACTGCTCAACTTCTCTCTCAGATCATCCTCTACAATGGTTTCTCTTTGTATTCAGCTACCGGAAAATATAGACAGTGAAATAATTATACAACGCTTATTTATATACTATTTAGTATATACTGTCTAGACATACAGAAGCTATAGCTTGATGGATAGACACGTCTATATGGGGACAATAATACCCTCTGTGCCCTTTTTGAAATACATGCAAGCCCGGCTCTCAGAAATAGTGAGTCAACTCTTAGTCTTCATTATATATTTGAGTTCAATTCATATATTTTCTGGGCAACTCTGATTACTTTACATTTCAATTTCGCACAGGTTTCTTGTTTTGATTTCTTGATTTAGCGTACATTTTTGGCCCTTTAGAATTCTATGTTCGTAGTCTTGGAGTGAAATTTTGTTAGCTGCTATTTTGTGCGAAATTTTGGTATTAACTGTTTTTGTTAGCAAATATGGCATCATATCATGGGAACACTGCATCGGAACCTGCAAAAATGGAACAAATAATATCTGAATTTTTTGCTAAGAGTCTTCGTATAATACTTGAGTCGCGGTGCCCTTATGTTTCATCGCGTAATTATAGCAGTGAGCAAGTTTTGTTATCACCATCCCCACCCTCGTCATCATGTTCTTCTTCGAGTTTTGGGCTGAGGGATAAGTCGTTTAATTTAGCACTTAGAGACTGCCCTGCTGCACTGGATAACATAGATTTTTGGCGGCAGAGTAATCTTGAACCCATGATTGTTGACGTGATTCTAGTGCAAAGGTCAGGCAATTGGGACCCTATGAATTATTTGCCCAAAAGAGGGTTTGCAAGGACTTTCTCTGGCAAAGAGGGTTACTATTACAATTCTGAAAATGATGAATTTGGGTATGAGATTGAGAGTGAAAAGATTATTGAGAGGTGGGTTTTACATTACGAGAGTAAGCAAAGCGGTGACTATGGTAGTGGTGTCATGGGGAATAAGAGAGCAGCTTGTACTAGTTCACATGCATTGTATAACAAGTCAACACTGTTGTTGAGGTCTTTGTACGCGACGGTTAGACTTTTGCCAGCTTATAAGGTTTTTCGTGATCTCATTTCATCGGCCCAAATTCGGGCATACAATCTTGGTCACCGGGTATCATCCTTTGTTGAGCCGTTCACACATAGAGAAGAGGCAGATATGCAACACTTTGTGTTCTCTCCAGTTGACACTTCTTGTTGTAGGCTTTGCCTCTCAGTGTTGTATTGCTCATCAGTATTGGATATCAGTTCTGAACCCTCCACCCCAATTTCTCCACAAGTCATTCATGAATATGTTGGGAGTCCAATGGCAGAACCACATAAGAGGTTCATATCAGCTCCTGTCTCTCAAAGTTCCCCATCTTCTCCTCCATTTGGGAGATATCATAGCTGGAATTATGATATATATAAAGTATCACCATCTTCAGTAAACCTCTCACCTTCATCCACTTACTCTGAATCTTGTGCTTCAATGCCAAAACAACTATCACATCGGTTTCCTCCAGCAAGTTTACCTAATCATACGGCCAGCGAAACACCTCCAGTTCATATGAAAGATCCAAATTTTCATGAGTATTGGCCTTCCCCGACCTTTTCGCCATCACCATCACCATCGCCATCGCCATCGCCATCGCCATCGCCATCGCCATCGCCATCGCCATCTCCATCACCACCTGCCTACATTCCTGATAGTCATATATTAAAGGCTCTTTTACGGTCTGAAAGTGCTCCTGTTGGAATACCTATATCTAGGCTTTCTACTCTTCCTAAAATGCCCAAAAACCAATTGTTGCCTCTGTCTCCTTCTATGGGAACCAGTGGACGCAGGGTCTCTAAGACAGATGGATGTTCAGGTCTATATGAGACCGGCTCTATGGTCGACAAGGTATTCTTTTTTCCCATCTTAGAAAATGTGTTTTCTTTTTACCCTGCTAATTAGTTTGACTGCTAATACTTTCATAGTTGTTCACTTCCGCGAAAGATGAAGCTGGAAAATTTTCTGGAGTTAAGCAATCATCAAACAGTTCATCAACGAAATCATTCTCTAGAAGCCCCAGTAGGTTTTCTTTTCAGGATCATTTTGACGATTCTGAATTTTCTGGCCTATTCATTACGAATGATGATGACCTAACCGAACCAAGTACCAGGTAATCACTTGACATTCGAGATGGTACTATTTTATTTATGTATGTGTAATATATGTGGCATTAACTGGTATATAGATTGGCACACTTATTGTATATCTATGTGGAATCTAACATTTATGTTGCAACCAAATCCAAATTAGCAACTTAAGCTTGAAAATATTTTATTTCTACTGAACTGGAAAATTCCCGAATGGTCTAGGGCAAGGGATTGCATAAGTGAAGGAAAAATAAATGTTATATTAATACATCTATTCATATTTTTCAATGTTGATATGTTTCAATCTAGCATTGGATGCTTGCCAGATTATTGGTGAACTTGACAAGGCAATTAGTGCTTAGAGAGAAGCACACCATCTACAATATCTTTGATGCACTCTTAAACAAGATAATCTCTTGAAGATGACACGTCATAAGGGTGCTAGAAAATATATTGAATTTTAGTTTGTTTTTATTCACACTGGTGAAAGCCATTTATGGGGTAGTGACGTTAAGGTGTGTTACTTGAAGGAAGATGTGAATGATTTTACAAAGTTACAAGCACTTGGATGCATTGCGAATCAATTGCTTAGAGAATAGTTCCAAGAAATTATTGTTAAATAATAGTGTAGTTGGCATTTGAGAGGAATAAATATTGTTAATGTTATTTTAGCGAGTAGTTCTGGATAGAAATAAAAATAGTTGATTTTATTTTGAAGGGGTTTTATATTCTTAATTTAATTTCAGTTGTAGGCTAATGGCAAAATGATTACTTGTTACAAAATAATTATGGACATTGGTCGTTGATAAGTTATGAAGAAAGGCTATAAGACTCGCTCTTATATTCAGAGTTTTTTTGGGATTGCTAAATGTGAAGGAGCTTGATATCAAAATGAGATTTGATTACATTTGTTAAATGCATATTATTTTTCGAGTTAACTTCTCGGTGGCCAGTAATGCCACTGTTGACAAGAAGTATAGAATTTGAAAGCCATTTTATTCATTAAGAAACTATGAAATGCTTCTTGTAAAGAATTATTTAAATTTTATCATGAGGTAATTTTTATAAATAATCTTGAAAAAATGAGTTTATGCCATGGTGATATATCGGACATTAAGACTTAGACTATGTTTGGCTCATGTTTAGAGATAGTTTATAAACACTTAACTCACTTTTTATCCACACATTTTAAGGAATCGACAAGTACTACTCACCTGTCCACTATTCATTTCTATTCATTTATAATTTAAGTAGTTTATAAACAATTCCTGAACATGCTCTAAAAATGTTTAGAAATTATTAAAAGTCACTTTAACGTTGTTTAAGCTCAGTTAACTTGCTCTTAGGACCATTGTACATGGCTCATTGGGTGGGCTTGCACTTGCAACTGGAGGTTTCAGCACGAAATGGATAGTGGTTACAATGCTATGACTGATTGAGCATCCAGTTATAGATGTGTGTAATAGTTTCTATCGAGGAGCTTTAGATGGCCCTAAAATAAATTATGGCTTGTTTTAAAATTAAATTCTGTGGCTATCAGTATGTTTACCAACTGACTCTCAATTGTTGCCATCAGACCAGGGTCATTTGATCAGCCTGGTGGACTTTGTCCCAGTGGAAGATCTCAAGATGCTGCTGTTGGTGCTCTTATTTGCATGCTGAAGAAGGCACCTCCTCTTCGCCCAGACATCTCTATCACAACAAATTTGGTGCAGGGCTCCAAGTCCGTGACAGAAGAAGTTCCTCCAGAGTCGCTGTTGGGGGTCTCTGATTCTTTGAATCTCGCATCCTCTGGACTCGCATCTTCCAAAACTACGGCTGATGCATTTTCAGAGCTCGTGAGGTATAAGGAAATGAAAGAATTACTTCTGAAGCAGGGTAAAGGAACTCAGGCATAGCCCACTGCATTTTTTTTTCCGGGCAAAGAAAACGAGGGTTTTTAGTTCCTATTATCAATATTACAATAAATAATTTTCGCGAGTGTTGAAGTTCTGGCAGAATGTTGTATATATTTTTAGCCTTGTTAGAATTTCGAAACAAGGCATGTCTCTAATCTAATTGGACATGTTGCTGTTGAACTTGATGTGTGTAGTATATATATTCTGTTATTTTGGGTTTTGGGTTGTATAGAAACGTACAAAATTTGGCTAAAAGCTAATGATGATTCTCTGTTGATGTGTAAATAATGGATGCATTGCTTTTCAATTTTTATCGTTTACTAGCTCGAATTCGTGTGTATTAGTTTGGCTGGAAGTAAATTATCAAGAAAAATATTCATTTTTTGATGAAATTGACTAATGTCGTACATTTATCGTTTTTGTGGGGATAAAATTCTTAGTTATTGTGAAGTTAAATATACCTTATATAAAATTAGAATTAAGCTTGTGCGTTGCACGTCTTATGTATCAAATGAATAAATGTGTGATGTTTTTGAAGTATTAATACTGTTTTTGAAAGTAGTTGAGGTAATTGATATTGTTAAAGGAAAAATTTAAATTGTTAAAAGATTACATTATATATAACTTTTTTTAATGAAATTATGTATATAATGTCAAGAGGCTGAATAATCTAAAATGTAATGTTCAGATTACAATAACATTTTTTTGTACACTATTTTTTGCCAACATCCAATAGTTTTACCCTATTTTCTTTCTTTCTATTTTTACCTAGATTTTTGATGTTCGCATTAAAACTCTACAAGTAAATACGCCATATGGTTGTCCATGGGAGAATATATATATATTCACGAATGTATATTCCAAAGTAGACACTATTTGTCAATGAGCCTTGTTAAAAGTCATTACAAAGCATAGACTTATTAAAAATGATTTTGTCTTGAACTTGAACGGATATCTTTCATCATTTGTGGTTGTTCTTGGGATGCGCTAAAGGAAAACTTGTTTTCCAACATATTATTCAACGATTATTTCTCTATAGATAATCTGCTTCTTGAAATCACGACAAATCATTCTTGTTCTATCGCAAGGATTGTTAAATGAGTTCATATTCCTTAAGAGTATTACTGGACATTTCGTTTCAAGATTAACTTATGTGGTGAGATACTATTTGGCAACAATACATTTAGGAACTCCTATTACTAAACTTGGTTTGTATCATCTTTGCTTCGTCAAAGTTGACGAGTTCTTCACTTTCTCTAGAAAATAACCCAATTCGTTTGTCATTGAGGAAGTCAACATACTTATTTTTGGTTGAAAGAATTTCGTATTTTTAGAATTTGCGTATGACATGAATTCTTTGTTGAAGATAATTAAAAATTCTAATTAAAGATCACGTTAAGAGGAATTCTATTTGAAATGATATTGTGGAATTTTATTCAAGTTTACTTGGCAAATTTTAGTTGAATTTCTATTTTAAAGCTCTATTGGAAGTTGAAATTTGTGTTGAACTTGGAAATGTTGAAATTATGGAATAAAGGGCTTTCTCGCAACATTTTCACTAGCTTGGGGCTAATTGGGCGCTCGAGTGCCAAAAGTAGAGAAGCTAGCACCCGATTGACACTAGCCTACTGCTTGAGAGCCTAGAGCGACTGTGTTTTCAGCCCAAGCCCCCTTTTTGGATTTTGACGAGCTTTCTTGCATTCTACTTCTACTGCAACTTTACCATTAGGGTTATACGACTTTTCATTATGATTTAAACTATGTTAGAAATATTATAAACACAAATCTTTGTATTCTTTTTTCATGTTATAATAAAATCTCATTTACTTTGCAAATTACATTGTTCTTGTGTCTTTGAGATCTTTACTTCATATTGTGGCTATAATATCTTATTTTTTTCAACAAAGTGGTATTGAATTAATTCGATATCATCTTCGTTTCACAACACGTATTATGTTATATAATAAAAAGAAGCTGCATTTTTAGTTAATCTTGGGAGCACTACATTCCGATGTTTCAGCATCATCACATGCTATAACTATCTCCTTTGGTAAGTTGACAAAGTCATCCTCTATGTAAGGTTTTATTCTATTACCAATTAGGATCAAGGATTATGCAAATCGATTGTCATTTTGAGCACACATGTTTTAATTTAGCCCCTGTTTGGGCTCTATTAAAAAGATATATATCTAACATAAGGATTTTCTGGAGAATGTGCAGTTAAAAAATGGATTTTTTTGATTTACTTGTAATATTATTTTATGAGATAAAATATGATTGAAAATAAGTTTTGAAATTTTTTTATTTTTTATTTATTTATTTATTTATTTTTTGGGGAAAATGGAGACCAAATAGAGGTTTAGTTGCATCTTTTTCATTTTCCCCCAAGCTACGATCTAACCAAATTTTGGTTAATTGTTTGTTTCTTGTTTTCCTTGAAACGATTGGTAATATTTGACGAAAATATTCTTCGAATACAAAAATCTTTACACGAAATGATTTTGAACTGATCGAGATATCTCTTAAAGTTATATCAATGGTTTCTATATTATTTGTATTGGCCATTGGTGCTTCATCCCTTAAGTTTTGCCTGTCGAATCAATTTTGTTGTAGTACTTTTCTTTGATATACTACTCATTGTTGATACATTTGGAATGGAATATTGAATCTTGAATGGGCGATTCTACCTCTTCACAATATTGAAGCTACTAGAAATGAAGTTGATTCGCATGTGCTATCATCTTCTGAGATTAAACCCTTGCCAATAAAGCACGGCATCAAAAGATATTTTCAGTACTGCCCGATCCATTGACCAAAAAAAAAAAAAAAAAGTTAACAAAAGACAGAACAACTTTAAACCTAACAAAGAAAGCCATGTGTTAAAACACACTATGTATTGATGAAATACTTACTGAAATTTTCTAGAAAAAGTCGACGAACTTTTCTAGTCTCATTGATCACTGAGGGTGGAGGCCTGCACAATGAGCCCTTTTTATCTAGTCGAGAAGGTCTCTCTTCCCGTCTTCCAAATCGTGAATACAGTCCCAAATTGATTACGTTGCTCTTCCTATGACCTCTTGATCGAGAATAGGCGGATGCTCCCAAAACAGAGCAAGCCTTTGCTTTAATTCGAGCTTCTCCTCTTTCGCTTGAGAGATTGCTTACAAAGAGGGCATTTGGTGGGGATTAAAACTAGATTTTTTATCAGATTGTGATAGAAATTTTTGAAATGTGTGGTTGAAAAGCTGTGGGACCTATGAAAGATATGGTTAATATTGATTGTTTGATTTTGACTTAGATTAAAATTAGAATCCGTATCAAACGGGGCCAAAATACTTTCAAGTCTTGTAAAAAGATCCATGGCTACATTCGCAATTAGATATCTCAATACTGACTTCTTACTAGGACTCGAGCTGAAAATAGGTAAATATAGCCCAAAGAATTATGGCCCTATATCTAGAAGCTATTTGTAAGGGACTTTCTTAGTCTCAAGTTGATTTGGGATTAAGCTCAATAATTGTCATACTATCACTCATTACTGATGCTTATTTTGCGCCTATCTTTTTTTTTTATTTATTTTATTTTTTTTTTTTGAAAAAAATCTTGCTCTGCGTGCAATCCTTTGGTCATGGGACTAGGGGTTCCAAACATCTAGTTGACAGTGAGGTTTCTACTTAAACAACTGGTCAATCAAGACCAAGCTCCAATAAAGGACTTATACCCCAACCTATTGGCGGTCGACCTAATGTTAGCATTTAGAACGAAGTTCCATTGCAGGTTGTCCTGTTCACTATTTGAGTGAATCCTAGTCTGGGAGAAGGGTTACTTTTAATATATAAACTAATTTGGTTCATTATTTACCCTAATTTTTGGTGGCTCAATAAAACGCTTTCTTCTTCATCTCTTAATTCTTTTTCTTCTTTTGGTTGGTTTATCAAATTAGTTCGTATTATTTTCATGATATCAGAGCCCAAATTTGTGTGTTGAAGTTGATCCTTTCATCTTCTGTCCCAATCCAAGAAATAATGAAAAGACATCATTAGGATCGAAGAAATATGGAAAAAAGTAAAGAAGTCTATTTTCTTGAATGAAATCTTGATTTTGGATGAATAATCTTCAAAAACCTTTCACAATTCCTTTGATGTTGATGATTTAACCTCGTTCTTCACCTCCTAAATATGTAGAATATATGAATTTTTAGGTCTAGGGAGGTTTTCAATGATAACAATCAGGTCTGGATGTGTTCTCCTATTTATATGATGCCAAGGAGGTTGTTTACCAAAATAAAATAAGGAAACCTAGATTTTTTTGCCGTTTACCAATGAGGCGCGTGCCTGGGGGCATTGGGTACCTTAGTCGCTCATTTTTGGTTTGGGGGCACGCCTCTCTCCTATAGGTTGGGGGCGTGCGCCTTGCCTAATTTTTGACAGCCTAACAACTTTCAATACTTTAATTATAACTTTTTCTCTTGATATTCGATTGAGGTGATTCAACTTGTGTTGAAAAGCTTAATTAGAGGCTACAATATTTTTAGAAATATCATTTTTTCAATTCGAACATTTGCTATACCAAAATTGGGTCTCAAGATGAGACTGAAAATTCGAAGCATAATTTTTTTCGATTGAAAGTTGTTGTATGATAATATTTTTACTATAACTCATCCCTTTGACTTTTTTTCTCATCCAATTGACCATGAGCACTCTAAAATCTTCATCGTGAGGTCTGAAACAACTTTTGAGTATTTTTATTTTTAGTTCCTGAACTTTGGATTTGCTTCATTTTAGTGAGTTTTCGTTGTTTCTTCTAATTCTTTTTTGAAATATGATTTTTTCTTAATAAAAGTAATAAATAAAAAATTAGGTACTAATTCGTCCAAAGAATAATAAAATATTATCGTTTAAGATCCCAAATAGATGTAGAAACTACACTTATCAACCGCCGACCATCTATCGTCAACGGCCATAATAGTAAGATCATTTATTAATATTTAATTAAATAATAATAAATTTTTTTCAATCAATATATAAATGCACTAAAATGTAAATATCTAAAGCTGCAAGGAAGGCATTTGGACAAGTAACTGATGTCACCAATCTAAAGAACAAGAAGTAAACCTTAGCCAGAAAAATCATATAAAATGTTCAGACATTTAAGAGTCACCAACGGATTAGAAAAAGCGAAATCAACCCATATAATTCGCTGTTTACATAAATCTAGGAAGCCATCAATTAGAACACAATTTCCACATTTATAAACATAAACAAAATGCAACAGTGAATGAAGGGTGAAAGGAATTCCAAGAAAATCAA